CACTAATAACATGGAACCTACAATTTCAACCTCCTACATACAGAATCTTGATAGAAAAGACGAAATTATACTAAATAAGATAAGAGTAAATCGATATTTTAAATCCGATCTTTTTGACCATAATTTCTCTTTCATTAACGATCCATATTGTGACTGTGGAGCTCGAGAGACAGCACAACATAAACTCTTGTCCTGCCCTCTGAGAGAAACAAATGCGCTAGCGGTGGTTAAACGTGAACTAAACTTAGATGTTACAAAATACAAAACATTAAAAAATAAGACAAATTTCCTACTTTTTGGCGACAAGGATCTGACAAATGAAAACAATTCCAAAATCTTTAAGGCAGTTATAAATTTTATTAAACACAATTAAACAATCAAAACAGTAATTCAATTTCAGGGCACCAACGGGGGTACAGGCAGGCAGTAAAACAGATTGTATTTAAATTTTATATATTTTTATACTAACTATGAATATGACTCAATAACATTATATTGTATTTAAATTCACTTAAAGCGGCAGTTGAAATGCCCTTTATGGGCGATTACGCCGTGATTACAATGTAAATTTATTTAATGATTTATAGAAATAAATGAGTATTTATTAAAAAAAAAAAGATATATTGATGAACTTGAAATCAATGAGATAATAGTATAAGTGCAAAAAGGTCATTTCGAAGGGCAAAATTGAAATTTCACTACATTGCCCGCAGAAATGACGTTATTAGTATTATTACCACCGTCAATGACAAGGACTGAAACAGCAAGAAAATCTTACGCACTGAACGATATCTAGTTTCCTGGGGAAAATTGCCGGTCGTTAAATGCATTCTCGACCGGTCTGAAATGCATTCCTGACCACCACTATGACGTCGCATATTGCTCAGGTCGATATAGTAAAATAAACGCCTTCTAAACTAGCACTAAAACCCCTAGAACTGCCCCGGCAAGGTGGTAATAATCAAGATTAGTTCTTTTAGGGAGACCAAACATTGCAAAAACTTCACATTCACGGTGTAAACAATAACGACGGGGTAGCGTACTTATATTGAACAATTCTGTCCGGGCTACTATGTATATCATTAGTTTGTAATGTCATTAGTATACAGTGTCATTATAGTGTGATGTCATTAGTATATGCGATGTCATCAGTATGTGTTGTCTCTTACCTTTTGGATGATTAAGATTTGATTACTTGAATTGAATTGAATTGACAAGCTTTTTAAGTTGAAACCAACTGAAATTACCTGGTCTTAACTGAAGTGCTGAAATTTAGGCATAAATGAAGTCCTTTGAATGAGGGTGACTCTATGTGCAATATTTCATTTTTTTCATTCTATGAATTAACTACTGTATTGGAGTGTTTTCACAGTTTAAAATATCTCATTATGATCGATTTTATTTAAGTTTGAAAATATTATTGGATTTATGTATTCAGAAATATTTTGATCGTAAAAATTTAAAGTTGACACTCATCTTATTTTATTTAAGATTAATTTTTCAAAAATTGACACTTATCTTATTTTAAATGTTATTGCAAAATGTCGACACATGCGAATGCTCTTTACAATCAAAAACATGATTTACTAATTCATACTATTGTGTAAAAACCTCTAGATACGTAAAACACCTGTCTTGATTCGCAATTGCAAGGTGTCAGTTCCTCCAACTTCTTGAATGTATTATAACACCTAGAAGTCTAAGATGTAAACATCCCAGACTTCACCAACTCTACCAAACATCAAAATCGGATTTCATATTAAAGAGAGAATCAGAGATAGCGAGCAGGCTAAACACAAAATTGTTTCAATTTTAGAATATTTTTGGCTCGTGTCATTCCTTGTCATGTCTATTTTATAAAAATCACAAAAGTGCATACTTTATTCAAGGAAAACAAAAGATTTTTACAATAATGTATTATTTTTCTATAAGAATGGTTACCATTCTTATTATTTGGGAGAATTTAAACATTTTTCACTCATTTTTGCACTTTGAATCATTAATAACTTCACCAATTTATAACATATTGTGAATCTTTTGGGAGATATTGTATTTGATATTGTAAGGAATAGATTGGTAGGTCAATTATGCACGTTGCTTGTAATTTTGTCACCCCCTATAGATATGATTCTGCCTTTAAACATAAAAGTATAACAAAGGTTTCACACTCTGGGTGTTAAAAAAAACTTAAAATAAAGGGGTTACAACAATTAACATAACTGTATTTTAGATTATCAACTTTGAAGTATTGTGTAGAAATAAAATATAATAAGAAATAAAATATTTTCTTTAAGCACCAGCTCCTTTGGTAGGTGTTGATAAAAATATGACAGTTTTGGAGAAAATCAAGGGAACAATTTCTCAAAATATCTTTCTGTAAAGGTAAAATTATCTTCTTTTTACATGTTCAACATTCATTTCGTTTAACACAACCCTTCTCCACCCCTTCCCCCTTAATTGGGCTTTGTAATTCAATGTTCTGTACATTGATCTGTTTAAAAGGAGGTTTATCTCTGTTTATAGATAATATGATTTAAAACGAATATACAGGGTGTCTCATATGTATTGACCCCACTCCCAAATAAAATCATACATGTAGCATTGCTACCCTATCATGTTATACACCGTTGTTCGTGAATATGGAATTGGAATATCTACCTTGTTTTCAGTGTAATTTCAAATTTTAGTGAGATGAGATTTTTCAAATATGTATGCATAAACCGGTCAATATATAACGATGCATTCAGGTCGTTGTTTCATATCAACAGCTGAAACTGCTGTTACTGGTCCAACGCGTATGCTGACGTCACTCTAAGCCTTTGACAAAATATACCAAAGATTAACATCAAAGCAAGGTATTATCAATCGCGAACTGGAAGCTCAGAAAGAAGATACACAACTGTGGGAGGATCGTTTATAGTAACAAATCACTGAGGAAAATAAGGTATGTAGGATTGTTCAAATAACAAAATGTTTGACGTAATTAAAATAAGAATCCAGTGTAAACGTTTCACCAGGATCAGAAAAAAAGATGAACGAAAAGAAAAAGCCTCCACAACACTTCATCTGAGATTGAAACAGAACGGTTTAAAAAACTAACGAAATGAACTAAATTACATTGCCGATTTGGTAATCATTCTTGAAGATAAGCAGCTTTGTAGTGATATTCAGATTTTTTAGCATTTTGGTATACTTTTAAAAAGACGAACGCTTTCTATTGGTATCAACAAGCGTTTCCTTTCACTATAAGGACCGACTTTCTTAAATAATTATAATAACAAAATTGTACTTCGAAGATTGCAGTATGAAACTGCTCATGGTATTGCTGATTTTGGTCCTCATTGGTAATTGCACCTGTGGCCGCAGGAGATTTAGAGGCAACAGAAAACACAAGAGCCACGGGAGTAGAAGTGAAGAGGGTAAGATTGTTTTACATACGTGGAAATGAAAATTGTAAATCAAGAAAATAAATACAGTACTCACAATATATCATTGCGATAAACAAGGCCCGTGTGTCTTTAGCATACTAAAGATGTACGCCCCTGTAATGCCTTGGTCACATATGCTCCGATCCATCGGCCGGCGCCCGGCCGATTGAGTGTTTTGTTCAATATTGTATTCAATTTTGAACAAAATACTCAATCGGCCGGGCGCCGGAGTGAAAATCGGAGCAAATGTGACCAAGGCATAACCCTACTACCACACTTTTTCCACTACGTTCTCGAAAATGGGCCTCAACTGTGTACGAACGGACTGGACGGAACTTCATGGACTTTCCCGGACGGAGAATGTGATTAAGTATTTTGAATCGATTCAAAATTCGATGGCGACCATACCGTTCTGTAATCAGGTCATGATGACCTTCTAGACTAAAGCCCTGTATACACCAATGAGGCAAAATCCCCCTTGCCCCATCGAGTCCCATCTTGCCCCATCGAATCCCAACTTGCCCCATCTAATCCCACGAAGGACCATGGGACCTTGATGACTTTGCCCCATTGAGTCCCATCGTGCCCCATCGAATCCCAACTTGCCCCATTGAGCCCCATAAAGTCCTATCATATCCCACGGAGTCCCATAAAGCAAGTCACGTGATACGTCATATGATCGGAATCCCACATTGCCCCATAGAAAGAATGAGCATGTTCATTAACGATGGGGCAAGATGGGAGTCCGTGGGATTTTGTCCCATCTTGCCTCAACTTGCCCCATCGAGTCCAGCCGAGTCCCACGTGGTACTTAATGGAACCTCGTGGGACTCGATGGGGCAAGATTGGGCAAAATTCGATGGAGTCCCACGGACTTCATAGGGCCAAATCCCAAAAGGTCCCACGAGGTCCCACGCAATGTTAAGTCTATTGAGGTCCCAACTTGCCCCATCGGTGTATACCGGGCTTAAGGGACGCGTTATACGACGTTGCACCCCGACGTGGTGCGACCTGAACGAACTGCGAATGAAATGGACGTATTGAAGACTGTTTATGAACGAAGTAGCTAACTATTTTAGACATATTTCCCGACTACAGCCAGATTGAGCCCGTTTTACGACGTTTTCGTAGGACTGGCAAGAACAGGTAAGAACTAGTTTGGTGTGATAGGGGGTTAACAGAATATGATTTCATCGTAGGCCTAGTGGAGTGTGAACCCTTGGATGCTCCGGTAAACGGCTCCTTACAATTGATAAACGGTGAGACACGCGTCGGCACTGTCGTTATTTATTCCTGCGACGAGGGGTCTGTTTTAAGTGGCAATACTACAAGATTATGTCAAAAAGTGTACGGACCTGCATCCAGTTCGAGTGACAGTAGTCACAGCCACAGTTACCGCCGCGTTGTTGGCGCAGAATGGAGCGGTGATGAACCAACATGTGAACGTAAGTTAAAAATGTAATAAATAGTTTTGTAACAAATAGGTACAGCTATCCCAGTAAAACATATAGCGATAACCACGGCAATTGTGTCTTGAAAAGAGGTGAATAAGAGAAAATGATTTTATTGTAGCCCTATTGGAGTGTGAACCATTAGATGCTCCGGTAAATGGTTCATTGCAATTGATAAATGATGAAAGTTGTAACAGCGCTGTCGCTGTTTATTCCTGTGATGAAGGCTTTGTGTTAAATGGAAATTCCACTAGAGTATGCTTGAGTAGCGTCAACGAAGCGGAATGGAGTGGTGATGAAGCAATCTGTGAACGTAAGTAATAAAACTGTTATTAAAATGATTGTGTAACAGTGATCACAATATATCATAATAGTCCATACATATGAAATCTCTAGGACGTCTAATAAACGAGCTGTTAGCACACTATATTGCTGCAATAGTTGACCGAATATTAACATACCTATATATGTCCTTAATCATTTTTGTTGTGACCGTTTAATATACGTCCAGCTTTTAGGCTGAATAATGTCTGTCATTAGCAGAGGTCAAAAAAACACCCAAAACTAAAATCCCCTTTCTCATTATTTGGAGTACTTAATGTTTTATGACATCACACTGATTTTTGTCTCTGCAACTTTTTTTGGTAGAAAATATCATTTTTAGTTCAAAAATGCATAAAAACGTCGGAACTGACTGAATATGTGAAAAATTTATCCATTTAGGCTAGAAAGGGTTAATTTGCCCTACCCCAAATATGTCTAAATATGCTAGTCTAACTTTGCCACTGTGACGTCACAAATCTAACCTGACTATCTCTGAGTTTATTGATGAAAATGATACGTTTGACAAACAGCTTTCATTCCCTATATGGCACACCTTCTACTAAGAGTTGCATCATTGACTAAATCTAAGACAAAGGCCCCGTGTCCCGAGGATTTTGACTGAAATTTGGCCATTTTCGCCGAAATCTTACTAAATTGCAGTTTCCCTCACACCTGTATTTTGAAATAAATATTGCTACAATGTAGCAATTTAAAAATCACACATGCTTACTGTTTCTGTCGACCTGACACGTGTATCTAGCCTGTAAAAAATGAAAAATCGCTACATTGTAGCAATTTCACTGAGATATGGGCCCTGAAAATCATGTAATTTTAGCAAAAAATGAAGAAATAACCTGCAATTTTGACGGAATTTCAGAGGGCTTTCTTTCATTCATGACCCTCCACGGGCCTCTTACGACCATTCTTATACTCACAGAAGGGTTGAAAGTTATTTCAAATCATTGTTTGCCCTACGCAGAACGAAACAATCGATTCTGTTCTCAAATTCTGCTAGAATATTGGTCTCTGGCCAACTAGCAGACAATTTTAGGCCTCATATTAAGGTATGAGTACCGTAATCCAACGCCAAATTCGAAAATTCATAACAATACTTTGCACATATGGCGTTCGTGACCAACTATAAAACGCTTACCCCCCATAGTGTTATATATTGAAATATACCTGTTCATATAGGGGTTCGATTGATATACATCAAATTATAGGGAGTCAGGTTACTTTTTGAGATATCAGCGTCCATTTATTGTGACTCGCGTTTGCTACTGTAATAATCTGATCTTATCAAACCATTCATGTAAATATGTCACACCTGACCACCCTTAACATTCAGGTGATTCATACACATTATATATATATCAGTATCTAACCAGCTAGATAGCAATACAGTAGTACACAGAAAATCTAGGCATCTTCTGTTATATTATCATCACCACCAGGATCTACTACCAAATATTACCAGTTTATGGAATATTAAAATGGCGACGAGGATGATGACGTTTCCGTCATTCGACATCACGCAGACAAATCTTTCTACTGTATACTAGGTACCCTAGACTAACTATACTATGGCGTTATTTAGAACAAAGCCACAAGTTTTTAAATGGACTATATAGGGGTCATACCTTTTGGCGGATGGATATGGAACCTCATACCACAATGCGGCAGAAAATAATACAAAATTGTTTTAAATATAAGTATAATTTAGGTTTCTTAGCTATAAGTTTGAGGTTGTTTTCTCACTAACACAAAAAAATATGTAATCAGTGTATCGACGTTTTGTATTGTTTCTCAGATATTAATGAGATAAATGGTACAAAATACAAATGAATCACTTTTATATTAGAATGACAAATGCTTAAATGTTGTTTTTCACCATAAAAACGCGATGATTGCCAGCAGTAACGTCGAGGAAGACTTGTAAGGCGTTCGATTGCATATGCCTCTTATATAGATTAATAAACACACCCTTGGAATATATGAACATTCCAATACCTCTGTTACATTAAATTAAGATATAAATCTTACCTATTTGAATTATTGTCTTATGTTTTATTAAACATTAACAATAATTTATTGTTTGACGCCTTGCGAAGATATGGATAAATTCTGGTAAAAAAAATGTTGTAAATTGTAAAAAAATTAATATTTTCACAATCATAAATTACCTAAATATTCCACACACTTTTGAATCTGCTTGGCTCGTATTTGAAAAATCAAACAAAATCTGAAAAGCACACTTGTATAATTACGCTAATTAATCACCAGCAACGGTAAAATTATAGAAAATTTTTACATTATGATAATCGATTTTTGTACGTATTTTTAGAATAACCCCCTGTGTCTTATAAAATGTATAAAAGTTCGAATCAAAATATTTACGTTTTTGACCCTTTGTGATGAAAGACATTTTTCGACCCGAAAGACGGACGTTTTTTCAGCAAATAGTGTTAAAAAAGAATCAAGACACCTCCTTAAACATTGCTTCAAGTGTTGCTGCGCTATAGTGTGCTACGGATCCTTCATATTCGGAAGTCATACCATGGACTATAACGATAAAGAAGGCCATTTTTTCTTGAGCTTTCCAGGGATAACCACAAGTACAATGTAATGCGTCTTGAGCTTTCTAAAGAACTGAATTAAAGTAAATATTTTCATCGTAGGCCTATTGGAGTGTGAACCATTGGAGGCTCCGGGAAATGGTTCCTTGCAATTGATAAACGGTGAAACTTCCAATGGCGCTGTCGCTGTTTATTTCTGTGATGAAGGGTTTGTATTGAATGGAAATTCTACAAGAGAATGTTTGAGTAGCGTAATCGAAGCGGAGTGGCGTGGGAATGATCCTATCTGTGAACGTAAGTTAAAAAACTGAAATAAAAAAGTTTCGTAGCATATAAATACAGTAATCACAGTAGCATCGCGATGAACAAGCCCCATATGTTAGTCCACGGTATGAAATTTCTAGGACGTCTAATTAAGGAGTTGGTGGCACCATATCTGCATAATGATATTTGAGCTTATATTTAGATACCTGCATGTGTCCCGCGTTTTATTTTTGTATAGCCGTGATAAATACGGCGGGCTTTTAGGCCGAATAATGCATGTCATTATCAGGGGTCAAAAAACGTGTAAAACGTTTTTCGTATTTTTTTCATAATTTAAAGTACAAACATTAAAAGAAAATCACATGAAAATATTTTTAATATATACATCAAGTTTCTTGGCTATAATTTTGCGGTGTGTGTTCCTTGAAATACCTTATATATAAAAAATCAAGGTTTCAACATTTTATGTCGTTTCGGAGATATTAGTGAAGCAATCAATATATTGGCACCTTTATTACCTGTGAATAACATATGGTTATAATATGTCAGTTTTTTACTAAATTAGTTGTAATACATTTTGAGATATGGACAGCCGTATTCAGGGGTCAATTGCCAATAAAGGGAGACTCGTTGTTCTTCCTTGTCTAATACCGTCTGCGATTGAAAATTGTTGCATATGGTACATGAATTGGTTGCTTATATAAGGACCATATCTTCAACATTTGACTACATGGATCTTTAAGAAATGTCGGCAATAATGTAAAAATGAATCGATGTAATGCATCGCAGTGACAAATATAATTGTTGTTATATTATACTGTTTGTTACACATTAATAAAAAATCAGAATTCTGAAGTAACAAAACATGAACGCACAAGTGGAAATGGAAAAGGCACAGCAACAAATGGAATGTGTTCAAGAGTATACTAATATAAGGGAATATCAAAGCATTAACATGCAAAATGCCAACGCATATTCGTTACATACACCGAACGCCGAATATGTACTGTCAATGGACTTTATGTTGGAAACTATAACAATATGTCATACCACTCTTGGTGGTGACATAAGAAACACTAGCAATCCCAAAGTCAAACGTCTATCAACCCCTCCCGACCCACGAGCTAAGTATAAACATCATTCCCAGACCATTACACCAAGTAGCACCTCATTATACTCGAGTCATTACAACACAAATTGAATAAAAATACAAATAGTGAGCCAATACTCATAACAATACTAATAGTATATTAGATATACAATATTTAGAATTTGGTCTTAATGCTTTGAGATAGATATTATAATTCGTTTAACGTTTAAAAGGGTCAGCATCCCACTGCAAACCTAAAGCCTTCAGTTTTAGCAATTTAATTGACAATGCCTAAAATAATCCCCACATCCTTCAGCATCTCGAGTACATAAACTTAAACGGTCGCAAAATCCAGAAATTATTTTACAAAAAGGAACACTGTTCATTAAACAAAACAAAATACCTCAAATAAAAATCAGTGACTATAGCATTTGGATTCACTCGCATAAACCAATCCTCTCATGAAAGCTCTTAATACTAATAATTCGTTTATAAATCACAAGTAATATTGCCTAACATAATGCATTCGCGAAAAAGTAACATCTCACATGAAAAATCAAAAACATAATAGCCTCATGAATATACTCACAAACACGAATACCTCACATATAAATCGTAACTGATATAACAACTTCTTCAGTATAGTATATTCCTCGCTTATTATGTGGTACTGTATAAAATGAACTAAAAAAAACTCATACTCCACATCACGCGGTACTAACTTCGACCGTTAATTTGAATTTTTGACATACCAGGTGCTTGAAAATCAAGGATTGCGAGTCTCATACTGCACCGTTTTTCTTCAAACTTATACCATTAAAAGCAAAACAAAATTGCCTTTCTGTCGGTGCATTACTTGATTGTAAAGAGTCCCTCGTTCACGCGGCGTTTTGGTCCCCAGCTGTCGGAAGGCCTTCTTACAGCTGGGGACCAAAATGCCGCTGGAAGTAGGATCTCTTATTAAGAGAATAATGTACCATCAGAAAGGGATTTTTGTTATGCTTTGAATGGAACAAGTTTGAAGAAAAACGGTGCAGAATGAGACTCATAATCCTTGATTTTCAAACATCCGGTAGGTCAAAAATTCAAATTAACGGTCGAAGTTAGGACCGCGTGCACATAAAAACTTGGATTAATCAAACGTTATAGGATGCGCCTCACATAAAAAAAACAATATAGCATCACAGAGTGCACTATTTGAAAGGAATACCTTTTATAAAATTTCAAATATTATCACTACTACCCACCTAGTTACACAGACGTATCGTCAGTGTATCATGGCTGAACTACTTCCGGGATTTGAATTTGGTAAGATATTTTTATTTCTCGATTTACATCTACTTATAAGTCACGATGTGGATTATAATTTGGCTCGAAGTTATGGGAGATAATCTAGTTTGAGAATGTGTCGATGGTTTTAGGTTTGGTATGTTAACGAAGACGCATTTCACATATTTAGCCCCTCGCTTTTGTTACACTGACGACCGGCATTAATATTGCCAATAGTACACTGATATTGGTCGTTCGTCAGTGTAACAAAAGCGAGGGACTAAATACCTGAATTGTGTCTTTGTTAACATATAAAACCTAAAACCATCGACACATTCTCAAACAAGACTATCTTCCTTAACTTCGAGGCAAATTATTATCCACAACGTGACTTATAAGTAGGTGTAAATCGGGAAATAAAAAAATCTTACCGAAACCTAGTCCCGGAAGTAGTTCCGCCATGATACACTGACGATACGTCTGTGTAACTAGGTGGGTAGCAGTGATTATACAGAATATAGAATGAAGTTAAAAGAAACTTGTACTCCCCTAAAATAAAGTGTATGGATAGTACTCACAATTAGCAACGACCCAGGGACAATGACTACCACTCCACATAAAACATTAACAATGATATTGAACTTCTTCACTACTTATTCAGCATAGAATTTACTCAGAAATGAGTAATACATGGTATTCAAGTATAAATTAAATTACCTCCTTCATATGTGACATATGATTTCACCCAGAAACTAGTTTTTCTAGCAATACCCGATATAAAGACAAAAGAGATATAGCCTGGGAGTAGCCATTTTGTCCCAAATTCTATCCAAAATGTCATGAATATGTACGCACGAGTGCCAAATGCGAAAGACCAAAAATGACAAAACTTAGCAGGAAAATGAAATGTCTAAGATCTCATTTCCAAATGGAAAGAAAATCCAACTACCCCAAATCAATATACAACGTGAAAGGAAAATGTATCTTACAACACTCACAACAATTCGTAAAAGTGCAATTTGCATGGCTTTGGCGACATAGAGTTTGTGCACAAATGAATAATGCCTGATTTGATAAAAAGTTACAAATTAGAAAATGAAGTATGGCTTCCTAAAACTCGAATGGAAAGATCGGAAACGAGAGATGTTGGATTGCTGAAAAAATTGAGAGAACCGGTCTTACAAAAAATGATTCGATGTCGTCTTTAAATATCGGAGGCTCGTCTGAAAGATTGGATGTGTGCAACACTATTTTCTCCCAATTCCAATCGGGACTTTGCACGCGATGGGTGAGTTGATATGATTGATAGGGTCACACCTTGGAACAACGATACATATCGTGAACACAGATGATAAAATATAGATAGTCAATGAAATAAAATATAAATGAGTACCTTTAATTTCGTATAATTCACAATCTCGCCCTGCTGAATGAAATTGTCTCTAACGGTGTCACTCATCCATCACGAAGGTTGGTTTCTGGTTCTTATTAATGACAGTATGGCTCTCACTTATAAATTTACATTTAGAATAGAACGAACATTTGTCAAGTTATGATCGAAACAAAAACTAAATCTTGTCTTCGCAAGGGAAAGTTCAAAAAACTAAATTACTATCTTAAATTTCACAAATCTTGCTCTACTGCATCAAATCGTCCTGAATATAGTCACTCGTCAACCACGAAAGTTGATTTCTGGTTTCTTAATCAATCATTCAAGCGTTCTCATTTATAAAACAATCGATAATTAAAACTGAAATATATTATAATGCATTCAATGTTTACTTTCTTACAACATTGCATGGTTATTTCATTGTTGGAGCACAGCATTGTGACACTATGATATTTGCGACGCATTTGACTGCGCCTTCTTTATTCTTCGATGCAAATCATCTAGTTCAAAAATGTAAACATTCCAATACCAAAATTAGATTAATTATTTAAATGATACATCCTTTATATTTTTATTTGATTACGTTTTGAATATCATTAACAATAATCCGCTGTTTGACCCTTGAAAACGCAAGAAATATTTCCTTGAATATATTGTTTCTATAAGTACAAATCTAATATGTTACTAATTATAGATTTTCTGAATATTTCGCATAATTTGGTCACATCTGCTCTGTCTTATTTTTTTCTAAATAATAAAACTTTGAAAAGTACCCTAGTGCAATGCACTAATTGAAAAATGACATTTACGTTAAAATAGTATTATATTTCTATGTAATCCTAATCCTTTAAATTATATATAAGTTTCGATTTACAATTTGAGTCTCATAAAATGCACTAAAATGCGCATGAAAAGTTTCACGTTTTTTGACCTCTTGTGATGACAGACATAATGCGACCCGAAAGCCTTAATATTTTTTACCAAATGGCATTTTAAAAGCATAAGGACATATGCCCCTCCCTAAATATTGGTTCAAATGTCGTTATGCATATATGGTGCCACGGATTTGCAATATCTATGAGCCATACCATGGACTATGTCCCCTGCTTTCAAAAACAGTTTATATTTTCATCGTAGCCCTAGTGGCGTGTGATCAGTTGGAGGCTCCGGGAAATGGTTCCTTGCAATTGATAAACGGTGAAACTTCCAATGGCGCTGTCGCTGTTTATTCCTGTGATGAAGGCTTTGTATTAAATGGAAATTCCACTAGAGTATGCTCGAGTAGCGTTATCGAAGCGGAATGGAGTGGTGATGAAGCAATCTGTGAACGTAAGCAATAAAACTGTTATAAAATAAGTGTGTAATAGTCCCTGATCTGATTTCCAAAAGGGCTCTAGAAAAGGGGTTTCGTTTTCCGGTACTTTCCCACATAAAATGATTGTACCGTTTGAAAGAACAGACTTCCCTCTTAAAGAAAACAGCTCTTCTATTGATAGAAACAGGGGCAAAAGGCACCAAAACGGGGTTAGACAAGGTGGCATTCTGAAGTCTCACTTTCTTGTCATCACGATTCCAGGTAAACCATCAGACGGATTTACTTCAAATTTTCACACATGTTACATGTACATGGTAAGAAGTTCTAGAGCTGATTCACTTTGCGGCGGCCATCTTGCATTCTGATAAATATTGTCATCGCTATTTAACAAAAAACCACATAACAGATGTACTTCAAATGTTCACACATGTTACATGTACATGGTAAAATGTCCTAGACCTCATTATTCTTTTCGGAGGCCATCTTGCATTCTGGCAGCCATCTTGGAAGTATTAAGATAAATCTTGTAATCACGATTTCAGGAAAACCAAACGGATTTACTTCAAATTTCCACACATATTACATGTAAGGAGTTCTAGAGCTAATTAACCTTTTGGCGGCCAGCTTGCATTCTGGCGGCCATCTTGGACGTTTTTTGGATAATTCGTGTCATCGTGATTCCAGGAAAACCACTTTACTGATTTTCTTGAAACTTTTACACATGTTACATGGAAGGTTACATGCTACCTTTTATATTGATATAAACAGGGGCAAAAGGCACTAAAATGGGGTTAGACAAGGTGGCATTCTGAATGCAACCTTTCACTATGTTTCTTTACTTTATACCACATAAGTGCATATTTCGTGTATGGTATCAAATGTTCTTTAAAATATCGATATATTGATAGAAACAGGGGCAAAAGGCAGTAAAGTGGGGTTACACAAGGTGGTATTCTAAGGACAATGTTATATATTTTTCTGCATTTTAAACCACACAATTTGACATAAATGCATATTCGGTGTATGTTATCATATTTTATATTGATAGAAACAAGGGCAAGAGACGCTACAATGGGGTAACACAAGGTGATATTCTAAAATACATATTTTTACTCTGCTTCTGTACTTTATATCAATTAAATGCATTTTGTGTATGATATCGATTGATTTTTAGAATAAATAACTACATTTCATCAAAAAGAAAAAAGATTATTGAGAACGTCAAATATTTCTATGAAATGCATTATTGCACAGCGATTTTTTGAGAGCGAAATGTATGCTAAACTGGCCTTGATCTGAGTATATAACGGAATTAAAGCTCTTTTAAAAGAAAATATAAATGTGTGGAAAATCTTTCACTGTGCATCATGTCAACGAAATGTTCTTCATGTAGCTGAATTATCTTCTGGGCAGGTGATCACACAGAAGGAGAGACCTGCGTATCATATCCTTACTAAATATAAACAAAAATGAGAAAGGAAAAAAGTGTAAAGCAACCTAGTGGGAAAAGCAAAC